TGGATCAATTTTATCAAGCATATTTGTACATATGTTGCCATCATACTTTTCTAAGCATTTACTTTGTATTTACGCCCTTGGCATCAGCTCCTCGTTTCCCCCTTTCTCCCACCCTCATGAAACCTTGATAAATTGTAAATTATTATTATTTCCATATCTTACATTAACTGCTGTCTCCCTTCACCCATGTTTCAGTTCTTCATCTCCCGGGTGGTGGGGTGGTGATGGTGTGTGTTATGCATCGATCATTGCAGTCAGTTCCCCCTTCTACCCTCCTCTGCCCACCTTGTCCCTACCCTCCTGGTACCGCTACTCCCATTCTGGTTCCTGCGGGATTTATCTGACCTGGATCCCATGTGTCGTGAGCTCTTATCAGAACCAGTGTGTATGCTCCAGTCTAGAACTTGAAAGGTAGGATGGGGGTCATGATAGTGGGGGGTGAGGAAGCCTCAAGGAACCAGAATAATACTGTGTGTTTCATTGGTGCTATACTGTGCCCTGGTTGACTCATCCCTTCCTTGTGACCCTTCTGTGAGGGGATGCCCTATTGTCTACAGATAGGTTTTAGGTCTCTGCTCCAACCCACCCTCAATCTCAACAATTTGTTTTTTTGTTTTGGGTCTTCTATGTCTATAACCTGATCCCATCAACACCTTCTGACCACACAGGCTGGAGGCTGGTGTCCTTCTTCCAAGTGGGCTGGTTGCTTCTCTGATAGTTGGCTGCTTGTTAAACTTCAAGCCTTTAAGACCCAGGCATTGTATCTTTTAATAGCTGAGCACCCTCAGCTTTGTTCACCACATTTGCTAATGTTAGCATTTCTATTTATGCATTTTTTTAACAAGTATTTTTCAGTTGGTGATCTAAAAACCACTCCTAATAATTACTAACATGCCAATAAACTATGGGATGTAAGGATTTATAGAAAATCTTTGTTCATTTGAAAAATTTGTTTCTAGTGGCCCTGGTGGCACAATGGTTAAAATGCTCAGCTGTTAACCCAAAGGTTGATGGCGCACAGCCACCAGGGTGCGCACAGGAAAAAGTTAAGGCACTCTGCTTCTGTAAGGATTTAGCAGCGCTTCTCAACCTCTTTGGGGGTCAAACGATTCATAACAGTAGCAAACTTACAGTTATGAAGTAGCAACAAAAATAATGTTATGGTTGG